TTAAAATATTATTATAATTCAAACATCAAAAATAAATTTATACTAATTAAAAATTAATATATTATATTAAATAGTTTTCAAAACGCTGGAGGGGGGTTGCATATTTTTCAAAAGGTTGGAAGACGGCTCCATCCACTCCCCCTCCCGGGCCTCCCCCAAACCTATGGTAGCTCCGTCCCCGGATGGCAGAGATGAAAAACGCAGAAAAGCAGGAAAGAGAACACTGAATTGTATGGTCTACACAAAATGATAACTGACCTTTATCATAATTCTTTAGTTAGGTCCCTTTTTTTTTTTAATTTGTAAATGAATTTTTTGTTTTATATTATAGATTATATTAAATTATAAAATTAAATTTTTTAGATAAAAATTTAATATTAAAGATTTTTTTAATAATTTAATATAATTTAAACTATAAAATAATTTTTTATTTATAAATTTAGTCATTTATTTTTATTTTCATGTGCTCCATTAATCATCCTCCACTCTCTTCACAAAAGCCATTAAGTAAGATGATAACATGACGCGGACTAAGAAAAGATTAATGACTTCGCCCTTACATGGAAAACAAATAAAAATTTGTGTTAAACAAGTAATAGGCAAAAAAAAGCCTTGAAGAAATGTTTAGAGATTAAGATTTTAAGTTAAAAATTTAAAAGTTAAATTTTAAAATTTGAGTTGAAACATTAATAATATATTTAATTTGAGAAAGGTAAATAAGAGGGAAGAGATGGAAATAGGTGAAAATTTATCTATTTAATTAGTAACAATTTTAAAATAGAGAGGAATTTCATCTAAATGAGAGAAAAATAAGAGAGGAGAATAAAAAGATGCCACCTCCGTTGCCGATCACTTTTTATTTTATTTTTTATTTTTTTGAAGAAGTTGTCAAGGGACGGACTCGAAACTCGCCCAATGAAAAAAAAAAAAGCACCTCAAACTGGCATAATACCAATTAACCCGAAGGGTTAGGTGCAATTACTTTTTTTATTTATTTAGGTAAATAAAAAAATTAAAAATATATAAATATAAATAGCTTCATTTCCCTCATTTCCCTTTTTCTTCAAACCTTTATAACTAAATAAATAATATTTTTTCTTTTCCTTCATCT